GAAACCCCTCGTAGCCATTTAAGGGTGCTTAAAGACTTGCTCATGCAAAGTGCTGCCTATTTCTACAAAGTCCCTTTCGGAGCTGCAGTCTCAAGCTGAGCTTCCGCCTCCCAGAGCAGCCTGCCTCATTTTCATCAGGTTAGATGTGCTTTTGGTGCTGCTTACGTGTAAGAACACCTGTTGTCCTACGCCTGACATAATTCTTTTAATTAATAGATTATGACTCAATGAAAATGGTGAAAATCTCGTCTGTAGGCCAAATCTTGACCTTAAAAATAGTTAAATTATCACCCCGTTGTCTTGACAACTGAACATCTGCAGGTTGAGCTCATGAGACAAACTGAAGAGTTATTTACTTGAGGAATGTTTCTCTGGGATTTTTTTTTTTTTTTTTTTAGGAAGTATGGCCACTGCCCAGTTTTATTTATTTGTTTTTATGTTTTGGAGTTGAGGGAATCCATTTCTTTCACTCTAGCCATGCTGGCGCCTACAGAAATCTACTCAGACGCTGTTGGATGCTTTAAAGCAGTTGTGTGTATTGAAGTTTAGAAACAATAGCGGATCAAACAAACATTATTGATCAGTGTTATATTTTTGATAATGTATGTTCAAAGAACAACTTTTATTCTTTTTTGTTAATGATGTGACATTTATACAATAGAGTGTTTTTTTTTCCTATCTTAACACAGACATGTTTTGAATAACTCAATTTTTTTTTTCTTTAACCGATTGAAATTAAATATTGTCTTATTATAATTGAAGATTATAGAAACAAACAGATATAAATGTCCATGTTTTCACAGTTGACTTCATTTTTTTCAGTAATTGCTGAATGCCTGCAGTGTGCCCCTCGCCTCATTATAACAAGTTGCTGCTACACCGGATTAGTCAAGAGAATGTGACCTTCATTTTATTGACTGGTTCATCATTTTCTTTGCAAACAATTTTGCATTAATAACTTCACCAACAAATCCATATGACAGATTCCCTCTATCAGAACTATTGAGTTGTAGGAGTAAAATACTGTGAATCTCACAGTTAATAAGTAGTGTACCTGCATGTTTTAGTTATGAATTAGGACATGTAATTGGGGAAAGATCGAGTGTTTTGATACTGTGTATTGTTGAGAGGAAAAAAATTGTGTCTTTCATTTTCAAACTTCAGGAGATGGATACAAACTAATAATTTCCCTCCTCTGCAGTGTGCACACTCTAAAAGAGGTGGCAATTGACTCATCGTAGTTCTTCAAGAAGAAAAAAAAAACATCTTTCCTTTCATTCAAGTATAAACATTTCTTATAAAGTAGAACTCTGAAAAGCATTAAAAGTAGTATGACCGACCGCAAGGTAGGTGTAATCATTTTTCCACTGAAGTCGCTCAGGCGCCTGGAAATATATTTCATAAAAGAAGAGCTGCACATCACAGCTTTTAGGCTTTAATTGTGAACCATTCTATTATAACCCTCTTAAGGTGCCATTAGCTCTGGCACTTTCTCTGTGGTAACAAAGCAAAAATAAAGATAAAAAATACATAGAGGTTCTCAACTTTGTAAAATTGACACAGTATCTATTGAGCAGGAATCTTGGCTCGTCACACCTTGTGTTTGATCAGATGTTTCTACTAATTAACGTGTCACAATTTTTTTTTTCTCGTTAAAACATCGATGTGCTTATCAACATCTGCTTTTCTCCAGGTAGGCTCCTCTTTACTTACATTTCAGTAATGTTTGAGGAAGTGCTTAAATAAAGGTTTATACAGCCATACAGTTTAAATATAGCTGTCAGACTTGATGACATGTAATGTTTCACTGTGCAAGTATATGATGAGAGATCTATTCCCATGGAGCTGGAAGGATTTTTGCTTTTGCTTTTCTACTTTGAGGCAGTTGGTATGATATGTAACCGTGGTAACAAGGTATGTTTTTTGTTTTTTGTTTTTTTTTTACAACCAGGAGCAACAGATAAGTATCTCAAAAGCTCACATAAAGTCTCTTTGGAATATATAAAGTGTTTCTGAATTAAATTGTAGGTCTGTATGTGCAGACCTACAATCTGCTCTCTGGTGTTAAGTGTTTCTTAAGAAAATATGAGATTGTGACATTTTCAAAAACACTTGTTTTGCCACGCCCCTTTCTGTTTCTGTAGCCAACCATGTGGCTCTTGCTCTTTCTCGCCAGGATGAATATCAACAGGCGAAAAAGAGCATCTATTGCCCCTTTTCCCTCCTCCCCTCCTCCCCGGCTCCTCTCCTCTGCCCAGCAGCTGTTTCCAGCTTCTTTCACACTCAGCGCCGCGGAGAGCACATCCGCGGCTCAGCTGAAGGATGGGAGCAATCACCAGTAACGCTCACATTTAATTTTCACCTTATATAACTGGTCGGGGTCAGGGTGAGGCGATCGGCAGCGTCTGGCTCATTTCTGCCGCTCAACCAGGAGGGAGGCCGGAGCAGAAGTTCAACCAGAGCAGAAGGTAAGGCGTAATTCATGAAAAAAATAAAATAATAATTAAAAAAAAAAAAATGTTCGGGAATGCTTTTTGCAGGAATTTACTGTTCGTATATAGGCGAATAAGAGACATTCTTTTTAAAAGTTGTTGTAAGCATCTAAGTTTACTATACTTTTTAATTTAATTTCATGGTTTTAAATAGCAACAATTCACATGAATCTGCAGAAATGAATAATCAAATCAACGTAATCTGGACATATTGAAATGTAATAACATTTATTCCAGTTTTATTCTGGGTATACAATAAACTCATGCGATTTATGCCCATTATTTAAAAAGTTTCAAATTCAAGGTAGCCCAGCTTTTTGCATGGAGTGACTGTGCAACAATCCTTCCTCTTAGATATTGTGGAGAAGTTTAATTTAGTGGAAAGAAAACATTTGTAAATAAACATAAAAGCATTCATTTTGCTTTATCTCATGCAGACAACATGTTACTTTTAAGTACTGACGAATGTGTTTTATTATAACTTCACTATTTTGGATGAAAGTGCTAAAATTACATCTTAAAATAATAACTAACCCAACCTCAAATACTTGTCCCTTTTTTTTTTTTAAAGATGCAGCATCTAAATGTTTGGATTATTTTCATTTATTCATAACCTCCTGTTAATCCTGGCTCCATACTTAAAAAAATAAAGTGGTCATTATATCACAGACCAAGTACAGTGTGAAGTTTGCAGCAGAAGCTCTTGTACACTCGTCCTATCACACAAACTAAAAGCATCTGTTACCCTCTAAGACACAAGCTTCTTTATTACACATTCTTACACAGACGTTTCCATTTTTATTACTGATCTTGACTTCATTGTGATACTAGCAAGAATGTACAGTTCAAACCTGTGAAATAATTGGCATAGTGTAGTTTACAGTAATGTTTTAATGCAATCACTGTGTTCTTAGCATAAATCTTAGACTGGTGAGTTTCTTGTGCGGAAATGTTGTAGATAGATTTATTTTAATTATTTAACTCTTTCATTTTCCAATCGTCTTCGAAGTAAAGTAATGAACTAAACTATAGGTGGGGGCAAAGGTTTTTGGCAGTGGAGTGGATAGTATGTTCTACTTTCTAACTGAGTCCCAGTAGGCATGTGTACAATCTCTGTGACAAACTTGTATTATCATATGATTCACTTACAAGATAAAGGAAAGTATTACTCAGACTTTGTTGTTTTCAGCCTTCAATTAAAAACCACTCTTCAGCACTTTATCCTCTGCTGTTGACTTCTGAATGTGAGTTTCCATAACAGTCTGCTCGCATTGGGCTCACTTCAGTTGCAAGTGACTACCAAAAGCTGCAGTGTCTCTTTTTAAATAAGAGATGGAGGAGATGTGAACTTGCACGTTGAATAATAAATGCTGATGTGTGGTGTGGAGCTCTGCCTCAGGACTGGAATTTTCATGTTGTGGTTCTGTGTCGAAGTGATTCTCCTGCATGCTCATCAGTTGATTGGGAAGCCGTTTAAGCTGAGGAATTCTGGTCATTTTTGCAAGATTTTACTTGGGGAAATATTTATTACCTGCTGTTTAATTTAGTCACTTCCATTTTTATCACTTCAGGCCAGTGAATTTCACCTTTCAAGGCTTTGAGCACTTTTTCTATCACTAGGAATTATTTTCCAAGAAACAGCTACCATTTCAAATCCTCTCGGTTTCACATGGAAGGTAGAAATAAAACACACATCACATTCTGCCTTTTGTTGACCTTCTTTTCATAATTTGAGCAGAGAATGATCTCAGAATAGTATGTAGTTTTGTTCTCTGTTGCGTAATTGACAGACGCATTGCAATATATTAGAATATCATTTGAGTTAATTTATTTCACTAATTTAATTCACAACATGAAACCCTCACAATATTCATTAAATATGGCTGCTTTGACTTTCATATAAAAAAAAAAAAAAAAAAAAAAAAAAAAAAAAAAAAACGGTGCATCAACGCGAGTAGATGATAAGATTTCCCAAATCATCGCTGACTGTGGGAGCTTCACATTGGACATAAAGCAACTTAAATCCTATAAATGTCCACACTCTCTCCACACTCTGTGACCATAATTTAAAAGAAAAGTGCAACATCTACTTTCACTTAAAAAAAAGGGGACTGTAGAACACGAATCAGTAAAGGAATCTTGTTTCTTTTCGTAAGCCAGCTGAGATATCGTCTGTTAAGGAGTGGCTTAAACACAAGGAGTCTCAAAATCATAGCTCATGTCTTGAATATGTTTGTGTGTGGTGATCCCAGCTATATTCTACATCTTGTGAATCTCCCTGAAACTCTAGAATTGGCTTTTCTTTGCAAGGCTGTTGTTATGGCTGCTGGTTGTGCACACCACTTTACATCCATCTGCGTGAATACCACACCATTAACTCTGTTACATGTTCCCTGAGATTGTGTCAGCCATATCATAGCAAAACACCCATGTATTAAAAATGCTATTTTATTGTGTTGTGATTTCCTGAAAAGCTGCTTTTTTTCACTAGCTAAACAGATAAGTGAAATACATTTAGTTCAGTTGAGTATATATCTGCAGCATCAGTTCACAACAAATGTGTGAATTGGCACCGAATGTTGTCTCAGTCAATTTGTTCTAGTCATGCAGGCAGATACAGTCAATTACACACAGATTTTAGCCCTGGGGATTCATGTTTCAGACCCAGTTTAGATAAAAACCTACTATCATTAAAATCAGATAATTATAAACTTACACATTAGGTCTGCAATTGTGGGGCATTGTGACATAAAACTATTAAACGGTATGTCTTAGCGCAACAGAATTTATTGAGTTCCTTGAATGGTAGTTTGCAAGCAAAGTACATCTTGCTTTACCCACCTCATCATCCTCCTTTGACATTGTTAACCGCAAGCTCATTTTCAAGAAAAAGTTGTCAATTTTTGCTCAACTTTTTCCAGCACTTTCCTCTTTTTATATATAACCTTCTCCATGTCCACCCTTGCTCTTTCTACTTTCTACCAGTTAAAAAAATGCCCACAGTACTTACTGGTCATTGTTGGCCACAAAAAAGAAATAAGAGTTTTTTGTTGTTGTTTGTTTGTTCTTTGAAACACTTGTTTCAAGAAGTGTTTTTGAAAGAAAAACACTATATCTGATGAAAAAAAACAAAAAAAAAAACAGTGGATACGGCCGGCAGTTGTAACATAAAAGCGGCTTCCCCACCCTTGTATTGTAGTTAGACATTGATTACCAATAGTCAAATGAAACTGATTTTATGTTAAAATGGCCTGCCATACAGTGGTAGCATCTTGCTGATGACATAGCTGCAGATTGGCTCAAAAAAAAAAAAAAAAAAAAAAAAAGATGGGCCCTTTCCCTTGCGCCCCAAACGTCACACCCACCCACCGGGAAATGTCCCAATCCTCCCAATTTGCCAGTCCGGACCTACTTTAAAATATTCCAATTTGATACTAATTGGAATTCACTTTGCAATAATATTATATTAGTATTCACCTTTGTGGCCAAAATCTACTGACTGATCATTAAAAACAAAAGACCACCAAAAGAAGTTGAAGAAGCATTTTTTTTTTTTTCCTGAAATGGACAGAGCTGATTATGCAGCTGCTGAACACCATTCCCAGTGGCATTGAGCCTCATTCCTTCCTCTCAGTGAAAGGAATCAAAGATTTATAGCAAGACAGCTCATTGCTTTCATTTGAAGAACTGTGTACTCTGAAAACTTACTTCACTCTATTTGCTACTGTTTTTTTTTATTGTTGTTGTTTTGTTTTCTTTATCAGTACCAAAACCAAACAAGACTAAAATGTAATAGACCTGTCAAGAGTAACCAGGGAGGAGTAGAGCAGTGGACAAAGAGAAACATGAGGATATTTCACAGGAGGATTGAGTGATAGGAGAAAACAGGCTGGGGTACTGGGAGGATAGTTCTGTTTTAAGGGCAGATGAGGATGAGAGAAGGAAAGGTTGCTCCTTTAAAGTGATTTTGTCTGTTTAAAAAATGCAACATAGTACACAAAATCAGTTTATTTCTTTTATAATCAAGTCTGAAAGAAAGTAGTGTATTTTCTGTTTATAATTTGGTTGCATTTTTCACATTCTTAAAAAAGCTAGAGTATTATTTTCAGAATATTGGGTAGTTTTTTTTTTAGCCATATGAAATTGAATTTTCATCCAGTGCGAGGCCTTGAAAGGCCTCGAGGTGCTTCAAGGCAGTTTTCTGGACTTCACCTTGATATCTCAATTTAAATATCTCTGTTATGTTCTTGTGTGTTGTGCAAACTAAATAACGCAAAAGCCATCTTCAGATATGTTGTTTCAGTTTTACCTATTTTCAATTTTACCCATCTATTTTCACATTCTCATCAAAATCTGTGGTTTCTTATCTTTTTTCAATCGTTTAAAAAACCCATTTCCACTGTACTGTTGTACCTTTTCTAAGTCAAGAATCAGATCGTATTCATTTATGACTCAACTTCTCTCTTGTCTGCAGACACATAAAATCTGACCTTAAAAATCAAATCTCACTAAATCCATTGACATTTTGTGCTTGCAATCTCCAATAACTTTTTGCATTTCAGGATGTATGCTGGATGAGTACACTGTTAGTTAGATCTCCTCTGATGCTATTTAGTTTGCACAACACACAAGAAACATAAAACATAACGGAGATCATCAGCGACAAGCAGAGAATAATGTACATTCTTTCAAAGTTGCTGTCACACTGTTTCTTTTCTTGGCTTGTGTGTTAGCAAACCTGAAAATGCTTTTCATGAGGGTCCAAAATCAAAAGTTTTAGTGCATTTTGTGAAACATCACACATTTGAAGCATGTGTGTCATTTTTGTACGTGCCCCTATTTTGTGTTGCGCAGAACTTTTCGATCCGACTGAATTCTGTCATCAACGATTTTTGTCTCTCATAATAAATGCTAGTGTTGTAGAACTCGAGACCAGTGTTGGTCTCGGGTTAGGTGGTCTTGACTACAACACTGATGAACTCCTGTCCATCTATGACTGAAAGTTCAACACAATCCATGAGGTCAATTTCCTAGCAACTTATTAAAATAAAAAAGTAAAATAAAATCAAAGCAAATGGTTTGTGTTCTTGTCATGGCATACCCACTCCAAATACTCAGCATGCTGCATGCTTGCATGCTTGTCCAAATGACATTAACAGCAACGAGCCGTTCTGTTCAAAGAATCTTATACAGGTTGTCACTTTTCTCATTTCCTTCATTGTTTTAGCAATGTTACTGTTCCCTTCTCTGCAGAATTGTAAACTTTAATCTTAGTCTTTCTGTTCCACTTTCATTTTTGCTGTCACCTTATTGTGTCCGTTCTGGTCACAAACACATCTCAACACAGCTGGTGGTCCAACAAAGCCCTACTTCTCCAGTCTTTGAAAAACATCTCTGGTTCTTGAAAATGTGAGATAATTATATTTTTTGTTACCAAGGCAAAGTTGCAGTTCAATAATTCTTGATTTATTTCATTTTTGGTTGGAGGAAACATTTTCTTTTCTTTTCATTCTTATGGCATTTGAAGTAACAAGATATGAGCTAAATGTAGGATTTTTCTTCAGCTCTAAATTGAAAGTAAATATTTGAGGTCCCAGTTGAGCCGCTGTGGGCAAAGGATGAGCTGGTGCTGCTTGAATATTTAATTTTCTTTTTTTTTGCTCTTTGGTTGCAACATTTTGTAGCTTTTTTTTCTTGCTCCAGTTTAATGCCGAAGGGAAGCTTGTTCTTTGTTGTTTTGAATTAATTTTGAAGCAAACTGAAGTGAGAGTTTATTCACAAACATTGCTTGAAAAACAGCTTAGAAAATAAAGCTGGTAATATATTCAGCTTTCTATATATTATATAGATTATTATATATTATATATATTTCATATATTTTGTTTTCAGTAAATCTGACTGAAAACAACATGATGGTTAATGAAGTTAACAGATGATTTATCGATAATAAATCATTAATGTATCCTTCCCATCACATGAGGAGTCCAGAATTGGTCTGCAGGATTTCCAAGATTGTTTGAAAACTAGTAGATCTTAGCAGAATCTTTTGTGAGTGTGAAGGCAGTCATTATGCTACTGCACTGCTTAGCACTCACTAATACATTTCATTTTTACTTGCTGGTTTCCCACATCAGGCATCACATCTGGAACTGGATGTTTGCTTACAAGCCCTTAACATTAAAACCAGATGTTTCTTTATAAACTAAGACATAACTTTTTTGTTTTTTTTGTCACTCTCTCTGATATTAAATCAAAAATAAATATTTTGGGTCAATTAGAACTACGAGGGTTATTTCTAATCAGTCAAAAAGTTTACATACATATTCTTAATATTTGGTAGCAATGCATTTAAACTGTCTAAATAAGTATTGAAACATGCCAAATTAGCTTCAGATTAATAACTTGATGCCTCTTAATGTAGTTATTTTTACCCATTACTTACCTTTACAACATTGTGTTAACCTAAAGTGTTGCCCAAATAGCTGAAAGACTATTTTATGGTTGGACTTTTCATTAAAATTTGAAATACATATTTCCATCCAAATATCATGTCTGTTCTACTTTTTCCATTAAAGCATTAATTGTTCACTGTTCTCCATGATTCCTCAGTTGATTCTTGTTAATATAACTGAGTTATCGGTACATGAGCTAAAAGGTTCGCGGTGTGGCAGTGTGTTGATGTATTAGCTCTTCTCGTCTTGGTTTTGACTGCAAATAAACTTGGGGTAAGCAGTAAAGCTTTGTGACAATCTGAATCTTATTCATCACCTTCAGGCCGACAGCAGATTTGATAACGTGTCAGAGGTCAATTACAATTTCCTATTGGTAATAAATAAGTGATGTGCCATTTTGCATGATTTTGTAAGTTGTTGAGTCAGATGAGAGCAGTGGAAAGAGGAGAGTGGAGAAAATGTAATGTATTCCCCCAGTCATGGCTCTTTTCTGCATGTCTACTGACATTAATGGTTGCTATATAAATTTATTCACACAATTTATGTTCTTCTGTCTTCCCAGTTTCTTTTTTTTTCTGGAAATGAGACAGCAGATGTCACATAAAACTAATGTAATAGAAGTATCCTTACATCATCTTTGTCAGTGTTATTTTGAAAAAACGTGAATGGACTCCTTAAAAGTTTTTCTACTGAGCTACTTAATTTGCCCCAGTTCAAGAAAAAAAACAAAAACAAAGAAATATTCTGCATAATCCAGTTTTCTGTGTTTCATCCATCTTTTTTTTTTAAATAAATAGATACTCCTGACATGTGGATGAGCCACTTTTTGGTGTTGCTCATAAATGACCCATGCTTGCCCACAAACAGGTGTGAAGAACAGTTTCCACACCACAGCACCTGCCGTCTGACTTTTCTTTGGCTGGAGGAACCATTCAGTCCCAACTCCGCAACTCGGATGGAATTAATTCAATGTTTCCCCTGCGACTGCCGTAAAAACACGGATTAGAGCACAGCTGAGCATTACTCCCATCCTATGCCACTTTACAGGTTTCTTTCAGGCATCTGATGATAAATGAGACATCCCTGCCATCCTAAGTGACATTGGATGGACATTTTGTAATAACTAAGGCGAGAAACAAACAGTAAAAGCAAAATTGCTGTTTGAGATTTCCCAAGGGGAACTTTTTTATGCCTTTAAACATCTAAATGTTGAAGTTTTTTGTTCATAGCCTGCAAGCCAGATTTTGTAAACTAATAACACAAATTGCCATATGGTTTTTATAGTTGTTTCCATGCTACCCACATAAGTGCTAAAGGTATGGGCAGCTCTAACATCTGTTTGAGTGCCCATAAATCTGTAAAAAAAAAAAAACTATTCAGGTTTGGGAACAACATATGCTGCCTTGTTTTTCACAAAATGCTTTATTCAAGTTTATTTGTCAGGGAATGCTTTAATTGGCTACTTGGCTGCTTGAAAATGCTTGAAATTGTAAAAGCATACTATAAATGGATAAATTATTTTCATTCAATTGTTTCTCCTTATTGGTTTTTTTAAAGCACGGTGAAAAACTAGGATGTAAAATTCAATAGTTTTGAAAGAATACATATTCTTTTATTTTTTTTAGATGTCATTTCTTCTTTCTTTCCTCTCCATCATCACAATGCTGATGATGGAGAGCATGAATTAAAGAAAAAAACTTTTTTTTTTCTTTAATTCACATAAATTAGCACAAAAGAACCATAGTCATTGTGGTATCTGGGATATTAGTTGATTTGATATTTTATTTACCTACAATGCTAAGTGTGTTTTAGTATTTTTGTTAGTCTGCAGCTACATTTATTTATTTCAGTTTTTATCTTTGTTTTCTAGAAATCTAATAAAACGGTTGTTGAACAAAAACTGATGATTTTGTGCTTTTGCTGATTTCACCGACTCTGATTAGCTACTGGAGGCTTATTAAAAATCCAATTTTCTAATTAGTGAACTCACTGTAGGATGTGCTGACAATAGTTATAAGTGTGAAAGCTCTTACTGACGGAAAAAAAGACTCTCAGTTAGCGATTTTCAGAATCAGTGAAGTGTTTGACAACGAAGTCAAAGGAAGCACAAAAGCTGCAAGAAGCCTTTAGAAAGGAAACTTTTCTGCAGAGGCTTGTTGGCTATTCCCCCAGGCTGCTACTTTTAAGGAAGTGAAACTTCATCAGATAAGGATGAACACATTTCAGCAAAGTTTAACTGTTTTTTTTTCCTTTGATAATGCCAATTCTGTCTGCCATGGAACATCTAGGACTGTTTTCAGTCATTTATAAGTGTTACTGTTATGGTGTGCTCTCTATTTAGGGAAGACATACTTAATGCTATTTGTCTTTGTTTTGAAATAATTTGGAAATCCTGATTAACTACAGAGCTGTGCAACTATGAATGTTCTCCCTCACACACATTCTAATCTAATGACCTATAATTAATGAGTGATTTAAGAGATAAATGAAACTAAATCTAATTCTATTTAGTTGTGTATAATTTGTACAGATATCTTTGTCCCTTAACATGCAGGACTTTTTAATGAAGATCTTTTTTTTATTTTATTATCTATAATAAAAAACAAGTTTCATTGTTATATATAGTTCATAAAGAGAAATTGGAATTGGCCAGTCAAAGGTTTTACAAAATTCAAGATTTGAAATTTGCCTCAGAATTTTTGAACACTGCATCTCTACTGTTTTCCCATTTTCCTATTTTTTCTTCCCGTCTTCCTTTGTGACTGTTTGGGTTCATTGTTTGAACTTCTGACTTTTTGCTTTATGATTTAACTTTCATCCATCCCCTCTAAAAAGTTTCTCTCAGCTACATCTTGTGACTTGAGGAGATGATGCAATATGGTGTTAAAAATGTCTAGATTTTCAGTATATTTTACAAAGAGTGGCCGTCATAATTATTGTCTTGTTACCAGAGCCAGAGAAAAAATTGCAAGTAGCTAACAACGTTATAATGGAGTATATTTTAAAGAAATTTAAAAAAAATATGTGCCCCAGTTTTACTCAGAAATACAATATCTATTGTTTTAGCCCCACTTTTAATCACTTCAGAATAAACTAGTGAATCTCTACAATGTCTTATAAGGCTTTAGAGATTAAATGTCATTTATATTGATGTTCTTTGAGTGATGTCCTATTCAGCGCTCTCTGTGTCTTTCTGTGATGCGAGACAAAAGAGTAATCCATTGCTGGTGTTGCAGAAACCTTTGCTTTTCATCTCTGTTGTTACGAAAAGAGCTCAGTGTTTGTATTTGCTAAGAAAGACTCTTGAATGAACTCCGAGTCGTGTGAGGCCTCATGGTAATTACTTTTCTCCTCCTCTCTCTGTTTTAGCCACTTTCCTTTTCATCATGTTCACCAAAGCGAAGTTATGACTTTATTCAACGAGTCCGAAGAGGCCACCTCTCCCCCCGCTCCCCTCTCCTCCCTTAGGAACAATTTCTCAGCCTTTTTCACACCTGACGCCTCTTATTCCCCTGCATCCTATCCCACCTCCTCCTCCTCTTCCTCCCTGCTGACATCCTCCAACTGCACCGACTCTTCAACGTCTTCCTCACCACCGTACAACTTCTACGCTGTGCTGTTAGTCCTTCTAATCTTTTGTGTGGTGTTTGGCAATGTGCTGGTGTGTGTGGCTGTGTCTCGGGAGCGTGCCCTGCAGACCACCACCAACTACCTCATTGTCTCCCTGGCCGTGTCCGATCTGCTGCTGGCAACCCTCGTCATGCCTTGGGGTGTTTACCTGGAGGTAATGTATAAATATGCACAACTTTGTTTTTCAAACAAACTAAATGGAAAAAAAAATTCTCTGACCCAGAGTGGAACAAAACTGGACAAAACTAAGTTCAATTTTATTTTTTTATTTTTGTTGGTGGAGGAAATGTAAAACAAATGAAAGTTTATATATTTTAAAACAGCAGTGATATATTCTGTCGCACTGCTAAAGTTTTCAATTGCAAAGCACTGTCTCCCCAATGTGAGAGGAGGAAAAAACATGAAGTTGACCTATTTAGATCATGTCTATTGAGGTAGTGAAGAGGCAGTGATACTTTTGTGGGACACTGTACATAATCAGCAGAAACTTAATTGACTTATTAAGTCACAATCGAGTAAAACAATAAGTTGATTATCATTCGTTTCAGGTCACAAGATATTTTCATTAACCTCAGGTTTCCATGTGAATCAGTGGATAAGATAAGCCGAAAGAAATGATGTTGGAAAATGGATGATTTGCTTAAATCTGTCTTAGTGGCCCAAAATATAACAAGATCCTGCAGTTTCATTAGGCATTCTAAAATAACATACTCATCTGTTATTAGTTTGCCTAATTAATTTATAATGATATTTATCAAATATGTAAATTAACCGTTCATCCCGTTGCAATGCCCATGCAATGTTTGAAAAGTGCTAAAGCGAATCTCTTTGGGCTTACAGTCAGACAAAGAAAGAAGAAGCTATTAGAAACATGATAATTAAAGTTTTATTTTATTCTTCTGCTGCTTATTCAGACATAATTGACTTGCATCATGCTTGAGTTACAAGAACAATTGTTTTGCTTGTTTTATAATTAAACTGTCCTTGTGAGATTAAAGGGAACGACTGAGCCATAACTTTAATCTATTTTTGTGTTCCTGGAGGTGGTTGGGGAGTGGCGCTTCAGTCTAATCCACTGTGACATCCTGCTCACTCTGGACGTCATGATGTGCACCGCCAGCATCCTCAACCTGTGCGCCATCAGCATCGACAGGTGGGGTTCCTCTTTTTTTTTTTTCTTTTTTTTTTATCCCAAAGGTGAACCCAACATGACGCAAGGAAGGCAAGTGAAGAATACGTAAGTTTTCTACCAAAATCAAAGGCACCCTAGAAACAGGAAACCCAGGAATAAAAAGAGAAATGAGTAGAAAACAGGGTCAGGTAGTTATTGACCTTGCAATGAGCATCAGAGAAAATAACAGAGACAACAAAGGAGTCTGTCTGTTGGAGAGTGTGATTACAGGAACAGAAGATGTGCTGAAATGGCAGTCAGAGGGAAGATCAGAGAAGACTAGCACTTAAGAACAGCCAGCAGAGAAATCAAACTCAAGAAAGCTGAACAATAATGGAGAGAAAACATTTTTTCAACAAAATAACATCCTCTCAGGCTAACACTGCAAAAATGAGGAAAAATAGCATAATCCCTTTTTTATTGTATAGCCTATTTTAACAACTATGCACATTTGTAATATCCGCTCATTTTTCTTTTTATCTTATTTTACGTGCCTTATCAGAATATATTTTTATTGAATTATATTTCATGCTTTGTGTTCAAAATCTAGTTTTTAAAAATATCCTTATATCTTAAAATTCACTGATTATAAAATTTTAAAAAATGCAATAATTGTTTTCCTCTGGGAAACTACAAGCCATGAAACAAAACTGATAAGAAATGAATCATAAAATAAACTGTTCCTGTCAAATTGCTATCAGCAGCATAGTAAAGACATTTGTTATTTTGTTAAATATATAGTTTACATGTTGTTTTTGAAGCTATTCCAAAAGGTATATATGGTTGTCTTGTCTGGCCTGTTTTGTTGAATAATTAAATAAAGTGTCTTGAAGTTGTGCAAAATTAGACGTGTCAAAAAGCTGGAATGATGACAGATATTTGTCTAAGGGAGAACACCTGCTTGATCATTTGTTTTTATTTTATCATCCAACTACCACTGAGCAGCAGGACAAAAGGCCCTGTGTAACGTCATCATTTATGTGTCCAGCAGGTTGGAGACTGTGGTTTTATGTCCCCAACGTCCTCCTCAGTCACCTGTGATCTTGGCAGCTTTTTTAAGGCCCATAAAAACACATTTAATGATTTGATCTTCCACTTGATGCGCTCGTCCTGCGTCCTGAGGGAGGTGACCAGACACCCAGCGGGCAAACCGTCTACAGCTGTGTCCTCATTTTTCAAACCGGCATATTGAGGTTGCTCTAGTTTACACACGCAGTCTGGTATGTTAACCTAGGACAAAGTCTTTAGTCAGGCTTGAGGGTGCAAAAGACAAAAACAACTAAAGAAGCAACTAAGGTTAATCCTAGATATTTGACTTCTGGCTGTGCTTCACATAAAAAATAAAAAAGATTGTGCTTATGTATTTTTTGTGTTTTACCCATCAATATTTTATTTTTTTCTTTGCATGTATACACTTTGCTTATCCATAAAATAATTTTTAAAGTATTTATGACCTCTTTCTTTCATGCAACTACAAACTTTAACTTTTGTTGTGGAGAGATAAAAACAAAAAGGGACTTTTTGTCATGCAGAATATTGTGTGCAGACAACAACTTCCTGTATGTCATTCTAAGCACACAGTCCACCAGGGGAAGCATATGTGTGAAATAAAAAAGCTTGAGGATGCTTTTCTTGTGCAGGGAGAAAAATAATTTACAGAATTGATGGTAAGATGGATGGAGATCATTACAGGGAAATTCTGGCAGAAAACCTGAAAGAGGCTGTAAAAGTCTCGAGACCACTATTTACTAAATGTTTCAAAAGTCAATAATGTAGTCTTCCTTCATGCAAAAGAAATGAATCAAAACAACCAAATAATGAATTAAACTCCCTTATCAGGTTTGTACTAATTTATGAAGTTTTATTGCTGAGGGGATTAGAAGAGATTAGAAGCAGCCTAGTGACTGAAGGCAGTTGCAGAAATCAAAGAACAACAAAAGAGAAAATCCTGTCTCTGATGAGGTCCATATGATCCTGACTTCAAACTGCCATCATCTGCAAAGACTTCTCAGCATTCATTTAAAATGTAATAAAACAACTTTACCCTTAGAAGTAGATCAATAAAATAATAATAATAATAATACATAGCTGCAGATAAAGCTCTACATTGTGATTTGACATTGTTTGCAATGGCTGAATCCTTTTTATGAGGACTTGTTTGTAAGAATCTGAACTGCTCCAGGCTCACCATCTGATTATACGTTGCAGGCTTTGAAGCCTGAATTAACTTTTATGTAATGGATGCTGTGCAGAATCTACTCACGTTTTAACAGCTTCTGCTTACTTCTTGTCTGTGACCTTCCGGGTGCCGCCGAGACTTGAGCTGCTCACTTAAAGCCACCAACAGCGGCAGGCAACTTCAATTGCTTTTGACAGCCATGTGTTTTGTGTCCTTGTAGCTGCGAAACAAGAAGTGACAGCTTTTGTCTGTTTGAGAAACAAACCGGGATTTGATTGTCATGCTTTTTCTACTTTAAAATATGTGAGAACATGGCTGTGGGATAACTAGCTCACTGGATTTATCAGAGATTGTTTGTTCTGTATTGACGTGTTTGTTCCGAAGCATGCCTAGTGGGTGTGAGTGGCATGCTAATGTGACACCTGTGGTGTTTTTTTTTAATACTTGTGCATGTGTGTTGTTGCAGATACACAGCAGTAGCCATGCCACTGCTCTACAACACCAGATACAGCTCCAGGAGGCGGGTGGCTGTGATGATCACCGTGGTGTGGTTTCTCTCTTTTGCCATCTCCTGCCCTTTGTTGTTTGGACTGAACAATACAGGTGAAAGTATATTTTAGACACTCCTCTGACATTACTGCAATCAGCCGTAATGTGGTGGTCAAAAGAATCACACCTATTAAGGCCATAAAAGTAGCACAATGAAACTTTGTTGTGAAAAAATATGATCTTTTAGGGGTTGTGTTATGCACCAATGTTCCTGTATCTGACATATTTTGACATAATCAATGGTTGTTTTTTATTAATTTACCCTTAGCATATCTCATTTCAGAGTAAGATGACGTAGTTAGTTGTCTGCTGTGTGTCTTTTTTTTTTTTTTTTTAGATAAGGCTGTTGAGCAAAGATTGTGTTGTCATTGTGCAGGATGGTTTTTATTCTTTTATTCTAAAGTGACTGATCAAAATACGTTATTATATCTAAAATTTTCAATCTCCATATATTGTGCTCCATTGTTTGTATGGATTCAGAGTTTGGTTTCCAGACAATTCTTGCGAGACAAAAAGCAATGAGAGAAACAACTTTGAGACATTGTGTCACTTCCAGCCCAGGTTGTGACAAAATGAAGTTTGTTTTATTAAATGATGCTAGAAATGTTCTCATCTATTTGCAGGAGGGCGCTAAAACCTCCAGAGATTTTCAGTCAAAATGTTCACACTTTTTTGTCATCTGACAGCAATACTGCTGTACAGCTGTTTCACACATCTGGGAACATTAGCCAGCACTCAAATTACTTTATGCTTAAACTCTTGCATTGGCAAAATAATTTGTTCACATTGAGTTTGTAACAGAAGACGATACTTTGTAAAGTGATTAGACACTTGGCAGCTGGAGTGGTGGGGCTCATCAGTCAACCTCTGTGCTGATAAAGGCTTCTGCGGCGGGGGGTGGGCCAAAGCTTTGAAAGTGTTCAGATTGAGTTTAAAGAAAGGGCTTCAGGCTGAACGAGAATCACAGAGTAATGTGAGAGCTTACTTCCAACAAGCCAGCACAGCAGGACTGAATGATGCAAGTCAAACTGCGAAAAAGCATCTCTCTCCTCACAGCTACGTGTTGCCCGTACATTACGACACACAGCTTGAGATGTTTCTCATTCGCTTCTGCTGACAGTATTAGTGATTGAGTTACATCACTGGCACCCTTTAAATACAAGCAGTGTTTTTATAGATGTTTTTGACGAAACTTAGATTAGTAAAATGCAAAGGGTGTTGAATAATTAAATTGAAACTAATGATGGCTTCAAACGGTGGGATTGAATGGGTTAGGGACCTGTACGGAAAATATTAACTTCTGCCATGTCTTTTTTTTTCTCATAACAAGTGATGTAAATAACACCTTTATTCAAAATGGATAAAACAGTCGGAACACAATAAAAGCTACAACAAACAGGTGACTGAATCTGTCTGTTTGTAGTGCATTTAAAAGAGATGATGAAAGTCATCTTATCTGATTGTCATGTATTATTATTATTATTATTATTATTATTATTATTATTATCTCATAGCTGTTGCTGATAATTAGAAAAGAATAACCAACAGCAAATTAATATGATATCAAAGTTGGAACCCAGAAAAACATGATATTTTTTTTTATTTCATTACATTTGAGGGGGAATTTTTAAGCATCTAAATTTGTCAGTCTAGTTGTCTGAAGGTGATTAAACTGGCTTGCACTTTATAAAACTGTTTTTATAATATTTCATATGTGAACTCAGAGAATGGTTATTCTCTGAGCATAATGTGTAGTGTACATTTTGCATGCTTTGAAAGCTGTTTGTGATGCCGTTTAATAACAACCAGAAAGCTTTTGAATTCTGTGTGAAATCAGGGCTTATTTTGGTGCATGACATTAAAATAATCATGTATGTGCGTCTAATAATTTATTCTAATTTTGATGCAATATCTGGCCCCTTGATTGCTTGAGTTGCGTATTTTGAAAAGCTAATACTTGCGTTTTCTTGGTTGTCTTTCCTGCATCAGCCAGCCGGGAAGGCACCACATGCAGCTTCGCAGACCCGGCGTTCGTAGTCTACTCCTCCGTCGCATCTTTCTATGTGCCATTTATCGTAACACTGTTGGTGTACGCCCAGATCTGCGTGGTGCTGCGTAAGCGTGGCAGACGCACTGCCCCACCGCGCAAACACGGCCTGCTGACACAAGGTGGTCCTGGAGCAGCAGAGAGTCGACAGCGGAAGGTGAACGTCTCAGTTTTGCTGGAACTTCACTATTTCCTTATTGTTTTAATTTGTTCGGGCTGACATTTACAGTAAACATCCATGAAACCTAAAACCCCGTACACTTTATTACAAATCTGCCTTAGATATGTTTAATAAGCTAAATAAGTAAAGACTAATTCATTTGTTTCAGTAGATTTAAGTAAATAATTGTCCAAAATAATTATTCTACACATTTGAAAATGTAGCGTAACATACTAATGGCCAGTAAAGCCAGGCTGCAGAAAAATGCATTTGCGCCTGCTCAGTCGTTGTTGAAAATTTTGTATAAATCAAACTAATATTTTATTTGTAACTGTTAAGATTAAGTGTACGTAGTGTATATAATGAGACTTGTTCTCCGGTTCATTAATTTAATCATTAAAAATCACTATGCTCGTACTTACACATTATTGCACAAACTGTGTCTCCGTGTTGCATAACACTCTCACGCCATCACACACTGTGTATTGCGTTTTAATAAACTCTCTCTGTATTGTATTGATTTTAGTTTTTGTTTGAAAAAAAGGAGTCATAAATCTGCTCTATGTCTTCAGCTGAGGTGACGGGGGGTAGAAATGGTCGACTGCACTAAATTAAAACTGATTATACTGACAACTTCCCTTTACCATTTTCCTGCTACGCAGCAGCAACATCGGTTTTCAAGAAGGAGAAAAACAATGTCAAATTTTAATATTGTTCCATTAGAAAACAATGTGTTGTTATTGATTTAATAACGGTGGAACAGCCACTGCTGTCTAGAAAATTCCTCTCAAGTTTTTTTTTTTGTTTATTTTTTCCAAAGGTTGTGTTTCAGTTTAATAAAAAAAGAGGTTACTTGTGAGGTTAGGGTAGCTATTGATTGAAAATTAAAATTAAATTCAAAAGCCACTTGAAGTGTCATGCAAAGCTGTTGCACTTTGTTGTTTTATTTGCATTGAGTGTGAGGGTCTTTTTTAGATCTTCACTCTTTTCACTTATTGAATTTCCTGTTTCCTTCCCGTCTCAGAATAAGTGCACACAACCAGAAGATGTGAAACTGTGTACCCTGATCCTTAGGCCTGCCACTGCAGGTCCTCAACGAAAGAAAGTGGTGAGCAACCTAAACAAGCTCTCCATCTAAACAATGTGAATATTTTTTTCTCTATATTTTCGGCTCTCTTTCCATTGAGTCTCCTGGCTCTGCTGTGAATTCCTGCTTTGTTATTTGATTATTAACACATACCATGCTGCTAATAATTTAACATTTTGTTTCTTCTCAAATCTGCATCTTTTTTTGTCCCCCAAAGCGTGCCTTCCTCACCTCCCTCCTTCTTCCCTCTCTATGCATCAGACCCTCGTGAAGGAGTCTGTGGTTCATCCCCTCGAAGTGGAGCCGGGTCGGTTCCTACCACAGACGGAGCAGAATCCACCGCCTCCCAACGCTCCACAGCCTTCCAATCATTCACTGCAGTCTAAGATCTCACTCTCCATCGCGGTAGGACCGGCCCCAGCTCTTCCCTCAACCGTGGCGCGATCCGCTCTGACGCCCCGTCCCCCCACCCTCGAGGATGGCATGAGGGGCCGAGAGGGGTGGAGGGAGCGCAGCGGAGGCAGAGAGAAATGGGGCACCACCAAGGAAAGGGTGAGAGGAAGGCTCTCACAGCAGAAGGAGCGGAAGGCAACACAGATGCTGGCTATTGTGCTGGGTGAGGAGGAAGAAGAACAGACTAATTGATCAGATGTTCACATAGAATTAGTGGCTCTTTAGACTGCCTCACTGTTATGGAGATTAAGTATAAATAAAATCTATCCTTTGATTTGGGCCGAACAGGCTTATATTTTAAACAATTCTATTTTTTTTAGCTCCATTTATAGTTTGTTTCTTGTCAAAGCTTTTCGTTTAGCATTAACCTGCAAGTATCACATTTTAGCTTAAGGCAGAAACTGCTTTTATACTAAATTGCATTCTGCTTTCTTACAACCTTGCGTGTTTTATATTTTATGGATAGATACATCTCTCAAAATAGAACCGGTGAGGTTGTCTGTTGCTCCGTTAGTTTTGTGACACTGGAATAATAAAATGTAGAAATGTGAATGTTGTTTCATTACTCAGATTCCTGTACGAGTTGCTGTGCAAGCTAAACACACATAGGCGGGCTGACAGCTGCATTAGGCGAAATGTATCTTTTTATTGCACACAATTTACATTCAACATAGCGGAACGTATCCCATGGTGTTTATGGTGCAATCTTGTAGATGGTCAAGGTCTGCCGGCAGCAGACCACATGTTCCACCTCATCCCAAACATTTTAAATCCCCAAAGTAGCCAGTGAGAGATGTAAAACCTGGCCTTACATCTCCCGTTTCTGGAGAAACAGCTGGAATGAAAGAATAAATAGAGTTTGATGGATTGTGACTTGGATTAAACTGGAATGTGCCAGTTTATACGACTGGACTGTGTTGGGAAGAATTTTAATAATTACAGCTGAATTTAGACCTGTTTAGACTTTCCATAATTGCATATAAATTGAACCAAAGAATCTCATGAAATGACTGAATTTAATTTGTTACCAAGAAACTACATTGTCACAATGCATGTAATTATGACATTCACACATGTAATCAGTGTTGTCTATCTGTATCCAAGGTGTGTTCATCATCTGCTGGCTGCCTTTCTTCCTGACCCATGTGCTAAAGGCCCACTGCAGGAGCTGCTGCATCTCACCTTCTCTGTACAGTGCCGTCACCTGGCTTGGATATCTCAATAGTGCTGTAAACCCTGTCATCTACACAACTTTCAACATTGAATTTCGCAAAGCCTTCATCAAGATCCTGCACTGCTAGCCAAGATTAAAAATGCATCAGTTGTCAAAGTAAATAAATAAGAAAACACGTTGTGGGACTTGGGAAGAGATTGCAAAGATAAAAATATTCTGTGACAGTTTGATTCTGAGAGGAACTGAGACTATAATCTGTGTGACTTGGAGTCATAGTGATAAAGATTTTTTTGGAAGGATTGAAAGGCCTCAGACAATATACTAAGCCACAGAGAGAAAACGATGTCTATGAAGCCAACGACGGCAGGCACCAAATATCCTTCAAAAGTAGTTTGTGACAAGTGGAAGACAGCAACGAGAAAAATAACAAAGGTGGAGATATGTACAGTGAGACAAATACTGTGCAATGTGTCTATTTTCTGTAAAGGGGAATACGCTCAGACAGGTGATCATACTTCATCATTCTGACTCAGATTCCACATTTATGGCTTTCAGTGCAACAGCACTGTTTCCTGAGTGCTCAAACCTTTGATTTGTATTTGACTGGTTCTGCTACATTCACTTGTGATCTCAACAAACCTTCTCTCAATGTGTTTGCATGTGCTGGCATTTCTCACATGACAGGAGCAAATGAAATGCACAAGAAAAAGGAAATGAAATCCTCCAAATTTGGTTTTGTTTAATTTTGTATTGATGAACCTATACTTCCATTTAATAAATATGTGCTGTCAGTAACTGTTTTTAATCCCAACCCTACTTCACTGCATAAATTGTGCCATCTATAATTTCAATAGATTTTGTGTTGAACATTGTGTAAATAAATATTATCAATCATTTGTCTCATCTCTTTCAGCTTTGCTATGGAGGAGAAAAAAACCCTTAGCCAAAATGAACCAAGTTATTCTTTGCTCCTTTTTCCTTCCATATGTACATGGGAGGTTTCTGCACCTCCACCATCACTTTCAACATCACTGTGGAGGAGAAAACATCCTCACTGCTTTCATCAGCTTACCAGCTGCATCAAGTGATGTAATTTTACACCATTGTGGGTGTCCTTTTTAAAAAAAAATCATTTTAACTTTTAGTGATTTGAATGTCTCCACCTATTTTGATGATGGCAGCTGATGTGAATCGTTCACACAAAATCTGTGTATGTGTGTTTTTTACTGATCACTGTTAGCTGATCAAACTGTGGCTCTGAAATTGTGAAGTTGTTTCCATAAGTCTTGCTGGAATAATTGTAAAATTTTGCTTGACACCACAAGACCTCTGCTTGTGCTTTTTCCTTCCCCCCTTCACCATTTATGTGTGCATGCATACATGAAACATCATTAAGTCTCTTTGCAATGCACAGAACATCTTAGCAACTAAAAAATACTAGTTTATGGGTTTATTCAAATGTACATCCATTAAAAACGGGCAAAATAAGTTTTTATTGTTTTGGCCGCCTAGAAGATAATGTCTAACTTTATAAGTCAGCTTATCAGCAATTCTGAATAAACTGTAAAGCGAGATTTGCAAGTTGAACTATTGAGGGAATGAATATAGAACTCATTTGACTAAACTCATTGACTTCAAAGGCGTTCATTTAAATCCACATTTGTTTGCTAGATAATTTCATTTCCCTTTGATATTATAATCCCCTCCTCTACCTAATCCTAAAGTGACAAATAACTTCAAGAAATATGAAATAATTTTATACTCTTGTGCCATTTAGTCAACTTTTCAGATTTTTAGTTCATTAAGTCTCTTGATTGTCAAACATTATTTAAATGAAGGCAGCAGAGGTGAAAATAAAAACTATGAAACAGTCTTTATAGTTGCAAGTATAAAAAGATTCCTATTCCCTCTCGCCAGCACGTATGACAGAAACAAAGAAGAGAAACAAAGAGTGTGTAACATGCAGTGTTGTGACAGGAGCTCCGCTCCACTGTCAGTGAGCTTACTGATCTGCCACCAGGCACAAGATAAAACAGCTGATGTTATTAAGTTGTAAATACTGCTTCTTTATCACGTGAAATGGCCAAAAAAATATTTTCTCTCCCTGACTGTTGCCAAGAGGTTGGGAAGCTGTCAGACGTGAAAAGTTTATTTTCTTAGCATCAGTGCGATGAGGAGATTGGAAGGATGGAACCTGATGCTTTCGCTCTGGAACTTTGTGCACGTTTTGTAGATTACATGTTGGAGAGCTACTTTTATGATTCACTTCACAGAGAACAGTCAGCACTGCATTATTTTCTTTCTGAAATATTCATTTCGCACCTTCCATGACCTGGGAATTGAATCCTTTTCTACTTGAAACAGACCTTTCATGACTAAGATCCTATAGAACAAAATTCAGAAAAAAGCATGTCGTTGAAAGATTTAAATTGTTTATATATATATATATATATATATATATATATATATATATATATATATATATATATATATATATATTTATCTTTATTGACAGTCATTGTGTTAAGAATCCATCTACATTTTGTGACTATTTCTCAGAATATAAATTGTTTGCAGCATAACTCTTAGTAATTTCACATTTTAAATAAGTGGTCCTGAAAATCGATACATTTTCTTTTTCAACAAAAAAAAACGTACTGTTATGTTTCATGTTGTTAAGAAGAATATATGATGGAAATTTAATTGATGACACATACTCATAAACTTACAGAACACAAAGAAAAAAACAAACATTCCAGTTTAACATTTTCCAATGTTTTTAGATTTCAGAAATCTAAAAAAAATCTAAATACAAAAAATCCGGTCTTTTAGAACTCACTGATGCCATGTCATGCTGTAACAGAGACATAACAAATCCACTGTCTGCTTGGAGTGCCACCGTGTCTCCTCCTTTGTGATAATCCGTTTTGTGTGACCTAGAAAATGCTGAGTAACTCTGCAACAAAATGATCAATCTGAGAGCTTTACAGTCTCATACGAGGAGATCAAAGAAGCACCCTTTGGAAATCCGAGTACAAAAAGACCTACAGTTCCTGTACGACCATTCAAATGAATAAAGGGAGCTGGATTATTAGATACTGATCTCTCAGTTATGTGAAATTCAATTCTGTTTACGTGAGTCCGTCCTGCCCTTGTGAGTGACTCATTGTTTGGGGGTGTACATTACCCTCTGTTGTTCAACTCTGACCCAGGCTCACAATAATACCCATGCATAATTCATAGAGTGCCAACGACAACCCGGGTGCATATCTGTTACTGAGTCGGCTGCGGCAGGGGAGGCTGCAGCAGCCAGAGAAGAAAGATTATGGAAAGGCGGAAGGGGCAGAAGGGCATGACACAAAATGTGGATTAAGTGTTATCCAGAAAGGAAGACAGCGGCGCAGGTGGCAAACTGAAACATGTGCAAGTTGAAGATGATGAATCTGCAGCATTGGAGAAGATATCTTTGGATTTGGGATGAACCACAGTCAGCAGGATCCTTCGGAGTCGTGTCACTTATTCTCCACGGGCGGTGAATTTCTTTTCCTCTCTGTGACACTAGTTGGTTTAATAGGTACAGAAAACACATGGATGGATAATCCTTTGAATACAAATGAAGCAGATGTGTGCGTTTGAGTTCAGGTAAAAAAAATCTTTTTGCACTGCTTAAAAAGATTCCACCAAAAGTAGATTTCTAGTGGGTTTTCATGTAAAACTTTGGAAAACAGAATGAAATGATTTGTTCAATTAGCTCTGATACTTTTAAGACTCGTCTTATGATTATATAACACAGAACTCAACTTTTCAACTTTTGCACTAATTTTTTCAACATTTTGCTCTTGCAGGTCTCTTTAAAAGTAATAAAACATCCTTCATTGATGTAAATGTCCTCCACCACCTGAGACCAAGTCTACTATTTACAATTATGGATTTGCATAACCAGTCAGACAACATGAGTCCTTGCCATCCACCTCTGCAATGGACATCGAAATCTTTTCAAAATCCAGACAAGCATGAAATTTTGAGTATATCATCTCTGGTCCCTTCCACCGTCCTCACACTTATTCCCAGCTGTGAGACCACAACTGCTGGAAGCCCATACTCTGAATTTCCATCTTTTGCTAAAGAAACGGAGGAGAAGAAACTTTCCAAAACCTGTAGTTCTGAATTTTTAGAAGCTGGGGGTCAAGAAACCACAACCAAACCAATTTCTGATAGCACTAATCCTGAAGAAGTTCAGCTGAGAAAGCCATCAGATGGACACATCCTGGAGGACAAATCCATAAGTTTAATTTTGCCCAAAGAGGACCACAATGAAGAAACAGGTATTGTAACAGTTTAGATTAGATATAGCTTTTGGATAGTAGTTCAAATATTAAGGCCATACATAAATAAACAAACTAACCCCTAACCTGGTTGGGTCAGGTCTACGGTAAAAGTACCGCTGTACTGTGGGCCCCGTGGTAATCAACAAAAACAGTCCAGAAATCTGTTTGTGAGACAATATGAGTTTGTTTTGCAGAGATATAGCAGTCATGTCAATAAGAGGGTTAGCATGGGAGAGAGAAAAGGTCTTAAGTGTTTTATTGCTGTTGAACTTCAAATGACCTTTCTGTTATCATGCACTGAAGGCTAAAAATAGTAAAAAAAAAAATGAAGCTATACTAAAAATCCTTTTGCAGAGAATGCAATCTGTGCACTCATGGATAAGGTATATGTAGGATTTTTTTTATTATATGCTTTTTGTCTATTTCATGGTTAAAAAAAATATTAGTCAACTCAAAACTACGGAGACAGTTTTTTTTTTATTTTTTTTTTTAGGAAATTAAACTTGAATTAACTTCTAGAACTCATCACCTCAGTTGTTAAAACCTGACCTGTCAACAGGCTTTCATCTGAAACCTGAGAGAGATTTCATGTTCTACCGGTGCTCATCTGCCTCAGGTAGCTGTCACTCAAGCATAGGACTGACATTAAGCTGTTTTACCTATGATCGATTGTATGCAGCTCATGTTTTACTTGTTCTTAAAAAATGTGCTGTGTATTTAATGCGCATGTGTGTGTCTGCTCCGCCTTGGGATGAGCAAACTATTTCATCAGAGATCCTCAGGAAGCTTAATCCTAAATAGGGAACTGACCTGCTGTGTCATGTGATTTACGACATGACTTACATCCATCTAGTCAAATTTAGATTTTTTTTCCAGTGTGCTTGTTGCAAATTGTGGCTTTTCTTTTAAAAAAAAGCGCCCTCTTTCTTTTTTTTTTTTTTTTTTTTTTTTTTGCATTTATTAAACTAAATTGCAAGGCTTCCTATAAGAGTGAAGAAGTTTGTCCTGGGGCAAATGTGCTAATTCTAGATCTCATTCCAGCAGTCAGATTTGTGAAGAAATGCAGATCATTCAAATGTGTTCTCCTACCAGTAGCTATTTTTAATGGAAACATTGCCCACCAGAAATATCCAAACATTAGTATCTACAAAAGAAATATTCAAGACTTTAAAGGGCACTTTGCATGATCCACAAAAAACATTTTGCCACCAAGTATTAACTATGCTCTCTTTGGTTTTGTACAATTAATAAGGAATAAATGCTTTGAATATTTTGTGGCAAAAGGCAAACCCACACCAGACAAAACTAACCCTCACACTTTGGTTCAGCTGTGTGAGAAGTGAGCAAAATGGAAAAAGCAATCCACCTGCAAATCAATGTGTTTTATAGGCTTATTTAAGTTTTTTTTATTTACAATCTGCAAGAAAAAACAATTCTTGTCTCTCTCTTATTGACCTCATACATATGCCAAACATGTACATTTGCAGTTATGTCTTACTGCAATGCTTTTCCCACAAAAAATGTTGCTCTAACACTACAACCAACCAAAAACTTTGCTTTTGCAGCAAACCAAAGAAAAACAAAACAACAAAAAACTTTAGATTTCCAGGGGTTTTGTGACAGTCAGAGGTCATTGAATGTTTTCTCTTTTCATTCTTCCTCCTTACAAAGCTTCTGTTCACCTGTCTCAGAGCCAGCAGCAGCTAGAAAGCAAAGTAAATTGTTCATCTCAGATGACGGCTTGTTTTGCTGACAGAACATTGTACCTCATTGTCTGTCTTACCATGGTTGGAAAAGCATTGCCTGTGATTCATCTGTGAGAGTTGATAGAGTGCAACACCAAGCTCTATAAAGATTCGTTGAACTAAATAAGAATTTACAGACAGAGCCAACGTTTATATTGTTCAGTTTTCATCAGTTTTAAAAATACAATAATAGAAATCTATTACTATCATCATTTTCTAACTTTTTTTTCAGACAACACATACTTAGATTGGAGTATATTCAGAGATTCTAACAGTCATTTAAAAATGAACTGATGCGGTACTTGGGGTTGAATCAGGAGTTAGAACAAAAAAATATTTTCACATTATGAAGAAAGCTACACAGTCCTGTGGCTCTCTTGTGATGGGGATGGGAGTAGATCTCTACAGAGAATAACTAAATAGATTTCCAAAATTTCTTTGAAAAAAAAATGACAGCGGTGACAGTCGAAAACTGAATAACGTGACATTAGAGGAGTAAAACTGTGAAGCAGAAGACCTGAATGACTCTCTGTTTGGTTAGTAGGATGCCAGATGGCCTTGCATGCTTCTTTCTAATAGGCAGCACTGCTTACCAGGCAGGGTGATGAAAGAGTCATGCAATAAGAAAATCAGTTTTCTTATTGCATGAAAACATATTCCATAATAATAGTTCTCAAATATTCATGAAATATAAAGTCTTGAACTATAACGGATCACAAATCTCTTACACTCTATCCTAATTTTATTAGTTGCAGTTCAAGTGGACTTTATGCAATGTTTGATACAGAAGAAGGACCAGCAAGGCTAATCTGCAGCTCAAAAAGGATACTGAATAGACATGAAGAGTTAGTTCTTGCAGATTCTGGATTTGAATACTAGCCATTTTTTATCAAAAATAGATTTTTTAACACCCTGAATTATATATATATATATTTGTTTGTTTGTTTGTTTGTTTGTTGTTTGTTGTAGGTGGAAACCATCGTGCCTTTTCATCTCGTGAACTGCTTGCAATACTGGGAATCACGCTTTGTATTAAGCTGGTCATCATTACTGCTCTCTTAGGTATGTGATGAAATCAACTGTATCCACTTTTACATAATCTGTAAGATTGATACTTAAGCCCATAAGGTATACGACAGATGTCATATAGCCAATAACCATGTATTATTTTTCTCTAAGAAATAGAAATTGAACTAATCACACTGTCATGGCAAAAGAAATCTGGTTTTAACAAGTCAAACTGGTTTCAGATTAGCTATCTCTTGCCTTCACATACTTTGAATAATTAATTTCCAACCATTTGAGATGGCTTGACAGTGTCAGGACTCATTTAGCTCAAATTGCAAAAGAACAGTTCAGGGAGGATGAGATGGCATTTTTCCATGTTGATCGGTCACCAGCCGAGAGCTGAAGCTGACAGGAATGTTTGGAATATACATTTACACAGGGGTCTGATTTTGAAATAAAATGTCCAAATATGTGATTTTTGCTTACCTGCATGTTCATAGATATCACTAAAAAGTTCAACTATTTTAAAAATATTAAGAGTGAAACTTATATTTTAGTTATTAGCTATATGTGTTGTGAAGTTTAACAAAACATAAAACGAATGATTACGAGCATTTTATTTGTTAATTTAGATAATTGTGGCTTACAGTTAATGAAAAATTAGATTTCTTAGAAAAGGTGAATATTACATAAAACCAATAAAAAAATGTGTTGCACATTTAATTCATATCCTTTCTGCTATTAGTTACACCTTATCAGCCTGCAATATTAATCATTTTTGTTTTATCATGAGAAAACTCAAACACAATAAAATCTACTTCAAAAAAATTCAGCATAGGTTCATTCTCCAAACCATCCTGGCTACAGATAAAGTCCTCACTGTCACCGTGAAGTAACTAATGCTGTCATCTCACTGCATTTCTTGTCTCTTTTTTTTTTTATCAGTCAAGTTCCTGGCATTCCCATCTGAGTCAAATGAATCACCTCTTCCTTGTGACACAGGAGGGAGCTGCAGTGTCTCAAGTCAACTACCTTTTCTGTCTAAGAACCCAGTCAACCAGACAGGAAACATCACTGCGGGTAAATAAAGTTAAAGTCAGTGGATTATAAATGCATGCAGAGCACTAAGTCTGTGCTTACCTGCCTTAGTCTGAATATATTTCTATCCCCTGTCACGCAAGTCATTGCTCTATCTTTTTTTTTTTTTTTTGTTATAAACTATTTCATAACCAGGCAATTTTTAAAATTCATTTTTTATTGCTGCTCCATGTACATATATTTTTTGTCATCCCAAATACAGCCTGCCAGGTTATGGTCAATGGCGGCCAACGTATTGTGGGCGGGACCTTAACGACAGAGGGCAAGTGGGGTTGGCAAGTCAGCATGCACTGGAAGGGGGATCACGTCTGCGGAGGCGCCATCATCTCCCCCCACTGGGTCATCACTGCAGCTCACTGCTTTGTTGAGTAAGAGGTAGACTTATGGGGAGAATGTGCAGAAAACTGACAAAAGGTGTCGTTCAGACAGTCACTTTTACCTTCTGCTAGTGGAAGGTTGTTGGTCATGTACATATAAAACTGAAGCAAAAGCAGTCACACATTTTGAAACCAAGAGCTTGAAGACGACAGATGGTGTTTTGTCTGCTGGGACTCTCCAGTAGACACAACCCCTTAAATGTTTAATTGGGATTTAGAGCACTTACGGAAAATATCTTGAGCTCCACTTCAGACAAAAAGCTGCTCACTGAATTCTCTGTAGAGCTGAAGTGAAAATAAGACGTTAATCAAAAAATGAGTCACCAAGGGAAATTTGATTGTAACAATGGAATTGACGTCTTTACATTGGATTAATAAACATATAAATTCATATTACTTTTGTTTTAGTTCTAAAAACTTGATGTCTGTAAAGTCAAACTGGTGCCTTTAAATGACACACAACTCGAATCAGAAGGCAGATGGCTGAATATGATTTTAGGGTTGCACTTTAGAGACTGTTGTCAAATAAAATCCTTACAAAATACGAAACAGACATACAAAGTCCAACAGGATATTGATCCCAGACACATATTTAGCCTAGTTGTGGACTTCAGACCTATTGAGAAATATATGGAGTCTATGTTGTTCCCTGAGCTTGAAGTAAACCTGCAAACAGATTATTTCTCTTCTTTACAGAAACAACATGTTTCAAGCAGCAGACTGGTTGGTGGTAGTGGGCACAGTGAGCATCGCAGACAGCTCCATGGGGAAACGCCACAGAGCCCAGCTGATTCACTACCACCCTCAGTTTAACAAGAACAACAATGACTATGATGTGGGGCTGCTGCGCACCATCACTGACATGGACATGACTGGTAACAAAGAAATAGCTCCACCTACTGGCGGATTTGAGAACGTCTTTAAAAATATATTAAGTATGCAGCTGATGTGTCTAATGACATTTTGTTATGTGAACTAGAGCTTAACTAACCGTATATGATTTTAATTTATCAGCTGATGGTTAACAATGAATCATTTTAAAAATACAGTAATGGTAAATTAGCTCATGCATATTTTTACACACCCTTTTCTTTGTTGGATTGATCATGAGGTTGTTGGTGTGAAGCAGCTGTTCCAGTTAGAAGTTTACACACATTCCATCTGAACATCATATTAATTATTGGGATTTTAATTATTGTTTTGAGTCATTCTTTTTTAAATGGACTAACAATACAACAGAGTTTCTAAGGTAATTTTTAGAAACAAAAATTAATTCTGCAATTAATTTAGATTACTCTAAATTAATCAATTTAGAATAATCTAAACTAATTAGATTATTTTAAATTAAATTAATTCATTTAGAATAATCTAAATGAATTAATTTAGAGTAATCTAAATTAATTGCAGATTTTCCATTATCTATTCCAGGTTAAAATTACACATACATGCTCAAATTTACAGATATACCCCTCAAAAAATGTGTCTTAGTGTCTTCAGTTATTATTGATAATTTTCACTCAGTGCAGAAAAACCACAGTCATCAATAGGGACCTGTGGTAATTCTTGCTTTATATTTATTTTATTTTAATATCCCACTTTTCAGTGTAATCTATCAGTAGGGTTTGTTTGGTCAGGTAGACACATAAAGCACAGATTTTTAAGCTCAATTGTATCTGACTGTGTAGTTGTGAAGTGAAGACTTTGGAGGTAGTCTTCTATATTTATGGCAAAGCACCAGCAAAATGGCAGCAAAATGGGCCCTCAGCATGATAGTTTCACCACCATGTTTGGTAGTTGGTGCAGTGTTTATGTTTGAAATAATCAGCTCCTAAAAACATACATGTAGTGTATGAATTTAAAACTTGTTATAAAATTTTAATGTATAAACCTTGACAAAAATTTAATAATAAAAAAAAACAAGAAGCTGATTAAGAAAACAATAGAAAAAGCTTTAAAAAAGCGACAATAAGTGTTTCAATGTGACAAAAAAAGGTTTTGTGATCTTTACACCTAAGTGATCTTTATTATTTTACTGCTTAGATTGTTCCTATGATAAAATGCTGCAATCTGATAGTTGGTACCTCTTTTTATAGGTGGGGTGCGGCCAGTGTGTTTACCGAGACTGACTGAGTCTTTTCCTCCTGGAGCACCATGCCTGATCACAGGCTGGGGATTTTCCCAAGAAGGAGGTGAATTAAAACAAATAAATGTTCCCAAACAGTCTGATATCCATTAGGCTACACCAAATTCACCAGAGTTTCAAAAGTAAAAAAACTAATAAAATTCTGTCAGGTAAATTCCATTACACTCTAGTGATGAAGTACACCAAAAAGTGAGAGGAAACTTCTGTTCAGCTTGCTAAATTTTGTTTAAAATAATCCACCCTGGACAGGTTGCCAGTCTGTCGCAGGGCAACACAGAGACACACAGGACAAACAACCATGCACACACACACTCACACACCGAGGGGAAATTTGGAGAAGCCAATTAACCTGACAGTCATGCTTTTGGACTGTGGGAAAAAACCAGAGTACCCAGAGAAAACCCACGTATGCACAGGGAGAACATGCAGGCTCCATGCAGAAGACTGGGGCCGGGAATCGAACCCAGAACCTTCTTGCTGCAAGGCAACAACTCTACCAACTGTTCCACTGTGCAACCCCCTGTTTAAAATAATCTCCAAGTAATTTTAAATAACCCATATGGGAATTGTTTCTTAAATGTTCTTTGTTTGTGTTATTACTAATGTTTCAGGGTTTGTGTCAGAAAAGCTACAGGAGGCTCAGGTGAATGTGATAGCTCAGTCCGTCTGCTCCAGCTTAGCCGTCTATGGGGCCTTCATTACTCCGCGGATGATTTGTGCCGGCAGCCTTTCAGGGGGAGTCGACTCTTGCCAGGTATACCCCAAGTGACATAATTCACTCTCTGTCAGTGTTTAAGTAGCACCAATTCACAACAAATGCATCTCAATGCACTTTACAAAACAAACTGATCCGATTTAAATACAGATATATATAATAAGTAAAATGTTATCATATAAAGGGATTCAAATTGAATTGGATCCCAATTATAAGTGCAGTTAAATTCAATTTATTGTGCCAACTTTTAAGATTGTTTGGTGCCCAAGGAAACACAGCAAAGTGTATCGAGTCAGTAACGTTGCAGCAATCCCTCCTACTGAATGAGAACGTGGGCAACAAGACAGTTGGCTGCACCGAGTCATTAACTTTGCAGCAATCCCTCAGAGCGAACATTCACATGGTGACAGTGGAAAGGAAATACTCCCTCTCATCAGGAAGAAACCTTCAGCAGATACATCAAAATCACACGCATTGGGCAAGAAGCATTTTCAGAAATTTCTTCTCAGAGCCTAACAAGGACTCTGATGAATCACCTGGTCAGGCTTGAGTTTTTAACAGCTATGAATTCTGTCCTGTTTTGTTTGCTATTCTTTTTAAGGGAGACAGTGGGGGGCCACTGGTGTGTGAGACACCTAATGGGGACTGGAGACTGGCAGGGGTGGTGAGTTGGGGAGAAGGCTGTGCCCGGCCTAATAAACCAGGCGTCTACAGCAGAGTAACTCAACTGCTCCAGTGGGTTGAAGGACTCACAGAGGTAAATACCATAATGTCTAAAACCAGGTTGTCCTTGTCAGTCTTAAATGTATTAAAGTTTTAATGCTTAGGTTTGAAGTATTAAAGAAAAGTAAAATGATTCCGTTTGTAACGGCTGGGGTAGGTAATTATTTTCTTCTTCAGATTAAAATGTGATGTTGAATCTGCTCTGTTTGCATTTTGTTGCAGATTAAATCAGAAATGTTGAAGGACACCACAGCAGCTCCACAGGAGTCCGTGCCAGCAATCATTTCTTCTCTGAGATAACTGACAATAAAGATTAACACATTATAGACCTGTCTCTCATGTTTTTGGTGTTATCGTTGAGCATAGTGGTTGTTAGGCTGATAATAATGCTGACAGGTAATAATACTTGATTGAAGACTTATAAGAGTGGCAACAAAATGCAGAGAAAACTGTCATCAAGTACTCTTCGGTAATGTCTGGCATGTTTTAGCTGTGGAAAACAGTAGAACATAAAATGTCAATTGTAATTACAGTAAAAGCAATTACATAAATTCGGACCCCACATCAATTTCTTTATAAGAGATTAAATGCCAAAGGGTATATTATCTCCATTCAGTGTTCAGACAGTTATTCTAAATAACTTAGTCTAATTAAAATACCAATTTGATGGTCATAGTATAGAATAGGACAATAGACGAACAAGAAAAAATACTTTCAGACATCATTGACCTTTTTCTATCCCCACATCAATTTGCTAAAACTTGCATAATAATAAGTCCATATTTTGGGCCACAGCTGAACCAAGGCCCCGGAAATTTGGGCCCTACTTCTTGCTAAGCCCATGTCCAGCCTTTATCTATTTATTATCTGTTTTTTCATTTGTACATTTTCAACACTCAGCATTTAACACAACATGTATAACAGTTTGTTAACCAATGATAGCAAGATAGTAAAATTTTAATACCAAAGATAAGTCCACCTGTACCAATTTCATTAACAAGCGTAAAGTGCATAAATAATAGAATAAAATATAACGGTCTGTAAATGATATGTAAGATTCAGTTAAAATAATTTAAAACATGCCTTGAGTTTCCATAAACTCTTAGCAATCGCTTGTGTCGTGTTGTTAACCTTGCAGCAATCCCTCATACTGAGCATACATAAAGTGACAGTAGAGTGGAAAATCTCCTCTTTACAAGAAACCTCGAGCAGAACCAGTAGCCATCTGCCATGTCCGACTGGGGGTTCCAGAAGACAGAGCAGATACACAAAACAGAAACAGCTAATGTAACTTTCTATATGAAAGAAAAGCAAAAAGTTAATCGCAGGATAGAGAAAACATTTAGCTGTTGGCATCATTATCTCAATTGGCACTCCTCATCCAGGTGTCACAAAACACCTGGATGCTTCTAGAGAGAAGAAAACCTAAACAAAAAAATAAAGTTAGCAGGTGAAATAATAGCAAATAATGGAAATTTGATAGTAGCACAAGAAGAAAACAATGAGAAAAAGTGTTCAGTTTGTCCTCCAGCAGCCTAAACAATATAAGCAAAAATAGACTAATTAAATTCTTCCAGCTAACTGTGTCTTGTAAATACTTGATACGTGCATAAATTATACATTGTATATATTAAACATTGTTTTCGAAATTTCCCTTGTCCTTTCCATCCCTTCTTTCTCTGTATTGTCTACATATGTTCCACTCCTTTTTCTCCACAATGAGAAAAAACCCTGATGGATGTTTTCGTTTTTAGACCACTTTTTAAACTTGTATGCCTAATTCTCAACCTATTTATCCACATTTCCTCTTGCCTCTTCATTATATTGTTCCTTCTTACAATCATCTATTTTTGTATTTGATATGCCTTCCTCTCTCCTCGTGATAACTTCCTGAAGGCGGAGTTTCATAAAGAGTAAAAACTTTTAAAGAGGCCCTATTGTTAAATTACTAAGTCAAAACTCTTTCAAGTCATATTTGATATCACTTTTATAGCAGCTGAAGGTAACATAGTTACTTGATTGCGCTATAAAATGGAACTATATGCCTGGAAAATACATGTTACTGCCTCTTTAAAACTTTAAAATACAGTAAGGTGATTGCTACCCTATAAAGATTCCCCAAACGACTTTGGAAATAAATGTTCGTGTACGTGCATGCTTGCGTATTTATTATGAATGAGCATGCACAGTGATCACAACAAAGGTTTGGTTTCGTTATGAAACTGTATGCTACATTTGTCACGTAGGCCATAGTGCTGTCTGCGTGCCCCATGAACGCGCCTGCAAATAGTTTGCGCGCGACAGCTGACATTTTTTGACCCAGTTTCGTGACACCGGTTGTGAGGGTTGGCCGATCAAAGAATGGGTATAGTGATAGGCAAAGCTCCTGTAAAGACCGAGGGAAACAGCAGCGAGTAATAGCTTCGCTTCCAAACGGGACTGAGCTCGGGGTTTTATTTTTATTTTATTTTATTTTTTTAAATCGGTTTGTATCTGCCGAGGTCTTAAGGACAACGTCACATTCTTACGGTTACCTGCTTCTGGTTCTTCGGTGCCGCTCAACCAGTTGGTGGTTGTCCAGTCAAACCTAGCTGCTAGTTCAGACAGAAAACGACAATGTGCTCTGTATTAACCAGAATAAGACCGATCCATCGGGCTGTAGCTCTGTCGCTTCGACTCGGAGCCAACACCGAGGGCTCGAGTTATGCGGCAACCCAGAGCAGGCGCCTCTCTCCCGGCAAGAATTCTGTCGTAGACCTGCAGCGGAACGCCAGGTTCTACTGCTCCAGGATGGCGAAGACGGAAGGACTGCTCTTCAGACAAGTAGGTCCACGTTATATGAACTTCTGCCCGGGTTAATTATTCAATGTTAAAAGGAACGAGTTATCAGAATATTTAACCTTCATTCTTGATGTAAGATAACGGGAAGCATGAAGGGTTAGCATCTAGCATGGTGTAGAGTTCAATCTTTAGTACTCTAGTATTTTTGGTGGTTTGTTAAAACCCAAACTAGAATGTAGCTTACAGATGCAGTATGCCTGCATCAGGATGACTTTGCAGTTTATGTTATGCTTTACAGCTAAGTAGGCTTTATCTTTACATTTACATAATTCGGTATCTAAATTTATTGGCAACGTTTTGTTGCTTTTTCTCAATTACACTTTATATGCATTTCAAGTTTATTCAACATATTTTTCGCCATTCATGTCCCAAATAAGGAGGTGCTTGCACCAAAATAGTAACACTGATCATGCAAAAAAAAAAAAAAGGTAATGTTCACATTCACACGATGCATTCTCCTTACAATCTGCTTTCCCTTCTCCTTTGTCTTCACCACACTCACCAACATTATCTGAGGAAGATGAGCAGGACGTGAAGTACGTGACCTTTATTGTCTGTTGGCATTTATTGTAGAGTAACACCTATCACATGTTTTTCCTGTTTAGCTGTTTGAGGTGGAGAGCAGCACCTATACCTACCTGCTGGCAGACACGAACACCAGAGAGGCCATTATCATTGATCCTGTGCTGGAGACAATTGACAGAGACTTAAGCCTGATAGAGGAACTGGGGCTAAAGCTGATACTAGCAGGTATCTGTGTGTTTTTGTGAGTGAGCTACAAAATACAGTTACTTTCCATGAGTTTAGACTTATTTTAGAAATCCGTGTCCTGGTCGTCTTAACTGCCTACGTCAGTGTAAGCCTTGTACATTTTTTAAATATGCTTATTTAAGACACTTCCAGCTGCATCCCACTGATAAAAACAATTATTTTGATTCAGTTGAAATAGAAACAAGAGAACATATTAATAATTTCAAATATTTTAAGCACGGTCAGTTGTCCAGTACAGCATGTAAAAATCTTTTATGTTCAGTAAATGAGCAGAAACTTCAATTTAAAATATTTGTATGAAAATCATGTGATCACATTGTTATCCCCTACAGTCCATGCAAAATATGATCAAAATGCTCATTTACCTGTTGCCTCATTTCCAAGTCCCTGTCACATTATTTTTGAACCAGCAAACTTAAGCCATAGCAAATAAACTTATTTATCAATCTAGTTAAGCATTTTCATGAATTATGGAGGTAAATAATCGTAAAAAAAGTTTCAGCGTCAAATATCGGTCTTTATTAATAATTTATTATTTCCTGAAAATCAACATTACAACTTATTTATATAGGTTTTTTTTCTGGTAAACAAATAGCCCTTTTAGGAGTTAGTAAAATTTTCCTGATAAGTGATCCCCATGTGGAGTTTTTTTTTTTTTAATGACAGATTACTACACCTGATCAAACCATAATAACTCCCACAGAACTCCTGCTGGCAGGTGTTATATGTTGTGGTCACATGGGCATGTGTCTGTATGAGATTGCTATGGTTTGATAACCATAGCATAGCAACTTTTCATTTTATTTTCACAACTACTTGCAAAAAATCTAAACAGATAATACAATGGGATCACTATTATTTACAAGAAAAGCAATACTTATTCATTCTTCTGCTAAACTAATATGTTACTGTTCGCTCCATTTACTTATATTGATCTTCATGTATAGAAAGGCAAAAATATAGACACAAGTCCTGATAAATTTAGTAGTAGTTTTGAAGTGCTTATTCTGCAGAATGTTATACGCTTTTACTTTTCTCCTCTTTAAAGAGTAATAGAGGTATTACAATCTGATATTAGCTGGGTTGAGCTACTTGCTGGGCAATTATCCTTAAGCCCACTGCTTAGCAGATATGCCACTCGTAGCTTGCCCACCATAGCCTTATCTTGATGAGAAAGCTGATCGGTGATCCCTTATGCCCTCTGTCATAACCACATTTCTGCATGGTAGACTAACAATATTAATGTAGGTAGGTTATTTTCAATCCTCTGTCATCAAAGCAGGTAGGAAACGTCCTCTTGGTGGGTATGGCTTGAAGCATAGTTGATTCTAAACACCCAGTGACAGACAACTTCTGTTTCGTACCTGAAAAAGTCTGGTACGAAATGACCTGAAATGGATGCAAAGGGCAGAATGACTTTCACCCATACATTTATATATGGTAACCTGTATTTTATTCCCTTTTATTTCTGATAGTGAACACCCACTGCCATGCAGACCACATAACCAGCTCCGGGCTGATGAAGAAAAGAATTGCAGGATTGAAGAGTGCCATCTCTAAATTCAGCGGTGCCTCTGCAGATATCCTGCTGTCAGAGGGCGACAAAATCCGCTTTGGAAAACACGTAATGAAGCTATAAAACTTTTTAAAAATTTGCTTGTCAGCTTTACATTTACATTTTTTATTTATTTTTTACTTATAATTCACGTGCTGTAAAATTAGGAACATTTCAGTTGAAATTGCCAAATAAAATAAAAAGACCTGACACGCTTTGAGATGACTGTTGTTTCCTTCTGTAGTACCTGACTGTAAGAGAAACACCGGGACACACGGATGGGTGCACAACGTTCGTGTCAGCAGATGAAAGCATGGCTTTTACTGGGGATGCTCTGCTTATCCGAGGCTGTGGCAGAACAGACTTCCAGCAGGGTAGGCATATGTCATGACTCGTATGTTTTTAATGGATCTGTCATTACATAAATAGAGTTTCCCAATTCTAGTCCGCGGGGCACAACGCCCTGCATTTCTTAAATTCAGTCATTCACTAAACCACCTGAATGATAGGAATGAGTTACCTCATCGGCTTGTGCAGAAAAAGCCTTTTAATGAACCGTTGGAAGTATGGATTCAGTATCTGTCTTGGTGGAATGATTGTAATGTTTTTTAAGCTATTGTGTGAACTTCAACATGGAATATTTTGAAATGCTCTCATTGTTGATACTCCTGAAGTACCCTAAATCTTCTGAAACTGTCACATCTCTACTACAGGCTGTGCAAAATGCCTTTACGATTCAGTCCACGACAAGATCTTCACGCTGCCTGATGACTGCCTCGTCTACCCAGCACATGACTATTTAGGTTAGTTATAAACACATGTACCTAATGTTTAATTCTTACAGGGATTCTTAGAGACTCCCTGTCTCCAAGAATGAGCGGGGTGGGGGAGAAATCGACTTCTTTTGGGTGCAAAATGAATGTACGTAGCTGTACATAGACAACATCGGTAGCCTACAGGCTACTTGTTAAGCTTAAGGTGACGTATTGATATTAGCTAGCTAGTCATCTTTTAGCTAACATTACCTGCATCCAACAGCTTTACTAAACATGTTGGTTAGTTTGGGGGAAAAACTGAAAAGTTCTTTGCGTTTTTCTGGTTTGCTGCCGTGATTCTAACACAAACCTGCGTAGCTCTGCACAGCAGCAGCAGGTCTCCTTCACAGGTGTAAACCCAGCGCGAGTGTCGTAGCGCTCATGTTGCGTTTAAAGGTGGCTCGGAAAAACAGGTTACCACATGTTAAGAAGGGATTAAACTGTTTCAACTGCTGATAAAAGTGACAGAGGACACAGATATGGGAAGTGTGGAAGCCCCTAATGTATCAAATTGACATAGGAATAACAGAGAGTTGGCCATTCTAAGGTAAAAACCGAGCGCATACAGCGTTCATGTTTTTTTTTTTTTTTTCATCCATCCAGACGGCGCCCCACAGTTTGGGAACCTCTGGTATATGTAATGAATCTCCTGTGCATAAAATTTGGTTTACACTTTCGCATTTAATAACTGAATTAACTTTTGAGATGTAGTGTACTTTACTGAAATGTACCACTATGTTGTACTGTAGTTGATCAGTGGGGTTGTAAGCTAAAAGTATACCACAAAAGCCCTACGTGTAATACTGACTGGATGTGTTTTTGTGAATCAGGTCAGACTGTTTCCACGGTTGGTGAAGAACGCAAGTATAACCCTCGTCTCATAAAGTCAAAGGACGAGTTTGTGGAGATCATGAACAGCTTGAATCTTCCAAAGCCGGATAAAATAGGTAACAAACCAGTTTTGTTTCGCAGCTCAGCCATAACTTGTGTTAATTTGTGGGTTCCAACGTGCCAATTCAACGGGAAAACTGCGGCACAACAAATCCTTAATCATTTCTCTTTTCCTTCTTTTGCAGATATTTCAGTGCCTGCTAACCTCGTTTGTGGACTCCATGGACTCTGAATGTCTTGAAGAAGAAAACGAGAAAAAAAAAAATCATAAAGCCATTGACATAGCTACGGAATGATTCACACAAAACTTTATTTCACAAACCCGACCCCAATAGCTTACCATAAAGTGCTTTCATTGTTCTTTGTAAGTTATGTATTTATGTAGTTATGAATAAAATCTAATTTGATAGTAAAAAATATTGTAACAATGCTTTTGTTTGTAAAAGAACTAATAGTTTTTGTATTGCGATTAAGTTAAATGTGTGTGTTTTACTCTGTACATCTGTAATATTTTGACTTGTAACATGATTGAAGGAATGAATGAACAAAACGTTTAATTAAGGGAAATAAATGCCTTCAAGGTTTGATTTCATGGTCATGTTGCTTTACTGGTACAGGTGACTTCTTTTGCATGGGCTATTCAATGGCGTTTTGCTAATAATATATAATATTTAATCACCCACACTGCTACCAGTCACAGGGGTTATGAAGAAGTTGTTTTCATTGCAGAACAAGCTAGGGAACCTTGTGTTGACCTTGGCTCTTGTATAGATATCCTATGTGCGAAAAAAGAAGGCCAATACCATTAATCTGTTTGGATTCTTGATTTTAAAAATTTTTGATTGTGCTGCTTTCAGTCCTTTGACTCAATAACTCTAACCTGCAATAGTGTCCGAGACCAGTATCAAAATAAAACTGTTTTCAAATTAAACTATTTCAGTTGTCATAATTACTAGAAATAATTCACAGTTTGAACTCAACAAGGAAAAACGAATGATCATCATATTAAAAAAATAAGTTATAAGGATTCACAGTGCCATACAAAATCTCCAAACATTTGTTGACTTCTTATATGTGCTAACATAATTGCAGTTGCATACATTATTTTTACTGAAATTTTAATATAATTAATCTTGCTTAGCAAGTTCTGTTTGAGGCACTGAATACCTCCAGACATTTTCACTGGACATTGGTCCACTTTTATTGGCAAATTTTGTTCTCATTAAAATTGGTTGGTTTTGGAATAATACCGGTTTTTATAATGAAGTCATTTTCAGAAAAGGTTGAGGTTGTAATCATTCTGGAAGCTTACTGTTAGTCTGCTTTAACAGCTTCAAAATCAGTCTTGATTTTATGTTTGGAATCCTTGTCTTGTCTATCATAACACTCTGAATTTCTATATCAAGTCATTGATTAGTAGTCAAGTTGAAAAATTTTTGAAGTTACTCCTTTATTATTCTACCCACTCTGTGCAGTGAACCTGTAACTGACTGTTAGTGTTCTTAGATCTCAGTACTCCAACCATACTTTCCCTTATTGTCGCCTCATTGCAATAAAGTCCTTTTGTTTTTAGCCTTTGTATCTGTTTTGCCTTTGGAAAGTGCTCTCAAAATAAAGTTTGTTTTTCACACCAAACATTGCCTCTAACATGATTTTCGCTTTTTATCCCAAAAGTGATAAAATGCAGTTACATAATATAAAGTGCGTCTAAATAATTCTTTGTTTATTGTTCTGGTCCCAAGTCAGCCCCATGATGACAAAACATGTGCCTAAAGCTTGCTTATCTTTGCACAATTATCTACTTTGTTCACACGCTATAGCTCAGTTGGAGATGAGGCAGACCTGCGTTTACTGATTCATGGGTTTTTTGTAAAAAATATTTTTGGAGAATATTTAGAGGCATTCTGAGGCCTGCAAGTGCACAGTGGAAACAAGGCTGTACATGTTATCAAGAACAATAGTTCCATCAAATCCAATATCACTGCCTTGCTGTTATTTTTAAATGTAATAGTATTGTTGCATAACTTAAGACCTCAAATAGTATTAGATATAATTATTAACAAACTCAATCAACAGTCTACCTTTACAACCATAGCAATAAATACAATTATGTAAAGATTAAAAGTGGAGTAATGATGACAGAGCAGATTTTTTATTTATTTATTTTTTTTATGGCTGTGCAGCATGTCTTTGGTCTGACACACCCTTGGAGATCACGTATCTCAAACTAGTTCTTGTCAGGTAATCTGGGCGTGGCTGAGAGGCTATATGTAAGCGGAACAGCCACACGCAGCTCCAGTCATTGGTTTACTTTCCTGAGAGGGCTCATCTACCGCGGGGGTGTTTTCTGTAGTCCAGCTGCTCCGAGTAAACATCAAGTAGGACGGCTCCAAGATGGCGAAGCCCGAAGCACCAATCTTCAGACAAGTATGTGTATTTTTAAACTTTCTTATGGTCAAACTTGTGGACAGTGCTGCAGCTCTGAATTTGACTTCAAAACAGGAAGTTGTAGAGTTTGCCGTAGCTTACTGGTAAGTACATGATAAATATGCGTTTGGTTTAGACTCGGTGAGGTAATTGTCAGACAAGATTTTTATGTTTTTTCCAGGTGAAATGTCCTTTAACTAACATTTCTCTGATTTAACATTCTGTTTTGGCTTTTAAAAAGCTCTGAGCTTAATTAGTGTTATCACTGCATCACCATGACATTGCAGCTGACGCACAATAGATGGGTGTTTTCTACAGTTACAGTCTTCTCTTTTTAACGATGATGGCAGCTATTAAAAACAATATTGCATTATTTGATATTTGAATACTGATTTTTTTCCCATACTTCCCAAAGCTTTATTATAAATAATTGACCACAAGTAGTTTAGGAAAAGAGAAACAAATTGTCACACAGGGAACCCTAACCTAGAAGCATATATTTTGGTCTCTTTACTTCTTCAACCTGAACTCCAAACTCCCCTATAGTAATTTGTGTAGGCTTCATTTAAAAATCATTACTATCTAATAATGTAGAGAATAATGTATGTATCCCTAGCTGCAAGATGTGAACTGTAGATATCTCCCTCTTGTTTTTCCGGTTTAGCTTTTTGAGAGCGAGAGTTCCACCTACACTTACCTGCTAGCAGACAGAGACACCAAAGAGGCGGTCATCATTGATCCTGTGAAGGAGACTGTCGACAGAGATGTGAAGTTTGTGAAGGAGCTGGGGCTCAATCTAAAAATTGCAGGTATCTTTGCAATCACAAATGGGTTGAGAGAGGCAGTTTCTGTCATGGCATGAACTCAAAAACTGTAGCTCATCTGTGTTCTCTTATTAAACATTTTGAAACCCTGTTAAAATACATCAGCCTAGTTGTTAAGCGTATAAATAATAATAATAAACTTTAGATCTTGGACAAACCCTGAATTGCTGTAGCAGATCACTTTCTTATCTAGGAATTAAAAAGATAGGTCAAGACGCTACTGTTTGTCTTGCTATGAAAAATAACATTACCACTTACCAACAAAGGAAAACGCATCAATAAAATGCTACTCTGGAAGAAATATCTCACATGTCTACTGTCGTTGCGTAGACAGAAATTCTAAATTATTCTGTAATAATTACAGTATGGCAAGTAGCTTTACAGACAAGCTGCTTGTAGCTTGCCAATTATCATTTTTAAAATGTTATCTTAATAAGAATGAGTGAAGTTGCTACAGTTTCTACACCATAATTGTTTGTGTTATTTTTGCAGCTTAAAGTATTTCCTTACATGCAAAAGCAGCTGACAAGTTGCTGCCTTGTAGCAGCAAGTGAGGGAAAGGTAGCACTACAGTTATTCTATAATCAATACAGCTTTTAAAACAAACCTTGAAGTCTCCTTAGAAGTACTTAATAGCAGGGTAGAAGTGTTGGATTGGTGTGAAGTAAACTATTTATGATTTGGAGATCACAACTTTTTCAAACAATGGCTTTCACTGATATGGGTAATCTGTCTTGACACACTCACCAAAAGATAGCTTTTGAAAAAGACTTTTTTTTTCCGTTAAGTTAATTATCAGCTTAATAATGTTTCAGTGCTTGCATAACCTGCCAGTCTCCTTGAGAATAATAAAAGTAGATGATCTAGTCAGTATTAGATCAAGGTCAATGTTACTTAACAAAGACATATATGGCTATCAGTCTGCTAATAGTCGCCATCCTGTCAGGCAGTTTGCCATTGGGCGTCACCAAGCTGAACATCAGCCCATACGGCTGTCAGACCTTTTCCCCTTCAATTAAATATTAAAGTATTCCCAACTTTACTTACTGGCAGTAAATTACTTCTAATAACAAAATCCAATGTGTGTGTGTGTGTGTTTATGGTAGTTAACACCCACTGCCATGCGGACCACGTAACCGGCACTGGGTTGATGAAGAAACAAATCGAGGGACTGAAGAGCGCCATTTCTAAACACAGCGGTGCCTCAGCAGATGTCCAGCTGTCAGAGGGGGACAAAATCTCCTTTGGAAAACATGTAAGGACAACTATTATTTTTTAATTAATTAACTCATTTATTATTACTACCATCTTTTTATTAGTATGTTCTAATTTTCTTCCTAATACATAGTAAATAGTGAGAAATCATTGAAATAATTTGATAAAATAGATTTGAGGAAAAAATGTGTCCAGCTAATGTTTTTTTTTCTCTAATCACTAGTGTCTGATAGTGAGAGAAACACCAGGGCACACTGATGGGTGTATTACCCTGGTATTGGGGGACAAGAGCATGGCTTTCACTGGGGACGCTCTGCTCATCAGAGGCTGTGGCAGAACAGACTTCCAGCAGGGTAGGCACACGGTCTTTACTCATACCTGTCAAGTTTTCTGTTTTAGCTGGGAATCTACTGTATTTTACCCTTCCGTCCCAGTGTGCTCCTGTATTAGTATTTTCCCGTAAATTTCCCGTATTGGAGTAATTTCGAATTTCGTCTCTTACAATAGTCAGTACTCTTCTTCCCATAGTTCCCATAGTTCTTAGACGTGTGATTAAACACAAGGGACACATGGGGGCAGTATTGCATTAAATAAAATAGCATTTGAATAATTCAAGTCTTCTATAAATATCTGTTTTTAACAGTTTGAAGTCATTGATTAAATATTTTTTAACAAGCTTTTGACTTTAGAGTTTAATCTTGGTCCTTCTTCTTAGGTTCTCCTGAAAGGCTTTACAAGTCAATCCACGAGGTCATCTTCCAGCTGCCTGAAGACTGCCTCCTCTACCCAGCACATGACTACAAAGGTTGGTTAAAAACCCACATGCGTAATTTCTTAAAACTACATCCTATCTCACAGACGGTGACCAAATGACTTTGAAAAATTATTTTAGGCCAGAGCATAGTAACTGAAAAACGTAGTTTTCGACACTCAGAAGTTACTACAATGTTCTTATTCATGTCCTGTTCAAGGCTTCATGCAGCAAAGAAATGCTCGAATGTTTTTAATGAGCTACATTATATAATTCTTGTGCATTCCTTTTTAAAATGTTTTTCTACAATGTTATTAGTTTGTAACTAAGCTTTCTGTTTTTCTGTTTACTAGGTCAGACAGTTACTACAGTTGGTGAGGAACGCAAGCACAATCCCCGCCTAACCAAGAAGTTGGAGGAGTTTGTGAAAATCATGGACAACCTGAATCTCCCTAAGCCAAAGAAAATTGGTACTTAAACCGCTACAAACCTACCGTTAAATCTAAATGTTAGACACTAGTCAGCCGTAACATTATGAATGCATCGCAGTGAAGAAGGTAAACCTATTTTAACAATGAAAGCGACTAGAATCATTTTGGGAATGACAGAAATATCTTATCTCATTTAGTAAAACTTAATTCTTATTGTTTTTCCTCAACTTTACAAACAGATTGCCCCCTACGTAAATTAATTTTACTTTTAAGTCAGA